GGATTCCACTGCTAGCCACTATCCATCTTCCTTTTTGTGTTCATAATAATTATCAAACATTTTTTTATACGCTGGTATGTTAGTAACACTTTATAAGACTATCCATGTAGGTGTTATGGTCTCTTGATTAACATTCTCGTTTCAGGTTACAAAATATACTTAGAAATGCACTTAGCAATACGAGAACAATGCTACAGTGTAATAAAATTTATATTATGGTAGAATCTGTTTGTATTCTTTTATTTAAGAGATCGTTTAATTCGAAATCAGTGGTTCTAAAGTATTTAAATAATATTTGACCCTGAATCTATTAATAAATTGTCTGTTTTGTAATGTAACATATTCTTTTACTTAAATCGAAAACTGAATATTTAACGATGGCAGAAGTAACAAAATCTATGTATGAGCACATTTCAATTACATTTCTTATTAACTTTAGTAATACGACTTATACAATTCGAAAACTATTTTCAAAGACTTTAACAAAACAATGATTTAAAAACAGCATATTTTTCACATACATAAGCTTAATAACAAATTTACATGCTCACGCTTTACTGATCATAACGTTAGTTTCAATGTATTAAATTGATTTGCAGTAGATAATATCATTTAGAAGTAATCGTCTCATAGTACGAAAGGTGGACAGTGAAATATAGGTAACATAGTTGATCAACGCATTCTATGGCAAATAAAAAAATGTCATCTTGGTTCATTGTTTTCAGACAAAACAACTCTTATTATTATACCAATAAAGGACAGAACTGAAACCACAGATGTAAACTACATTGACTATTTATCCGGTGATTACGATATATTAAGTGTAAGTTACTACTACTACTACTACTACTACTACTACTACTACTACTACTACTACTACTACTACTACTACCACTACCACTACCACTACTACTAATACTAATACTAATAATAATGAGGTTAGAGGTAAGTTAACATTAAGTTTTCGGAACTAACGAAGTGAATAGTGATAATCCACAAGTATGTTATAATCACAACAATACTATAATCTATATATAAAGTAGTACTCATAACAAAACCTAGTATTCTGAAATTTTCAAATTAGACTATACTTTAATGATTCAATTTTGTGAATATATTAAATATATAGAAAATGAAACGAGATTTATATTTTCTGGAAAATTTCCTCTTTATAATCATCATCTACTTGTACTTTGACTAATGTTAGAACTATAAAGTTTAGTAAAATCAATCAAAAATGTATATACAAATTTATAAGGTAAATTTTTGAAACCCATCAAATATAACCAAATCAATGTGGTTGTTTACTTACAAAAAGTGGCTTCAAAACAAGTAATTTAATGACTATTCTTTTTACAGAAACGATGAGTGAAATGTGATTGATTAGCTTTTTAACAATAATGCATGATCGATCATTAATAATAATAATAATAATAATAATAGTAAAATCCTTTTTGTCTTACCAGATGTCATCTATTTTATTTATATCTATTTACATCAATCTTTCATCCTAGTGGATTTGTAATATTGTACTAATCAATTAGGTTACTGTTCTTTTTTAAGAGCAAACTTCTTATTATATTTACATATATAATAAAAAAAAACTATGTACTCTTGTAATCAGTACACCTAATTGTTAACATCTATTTATGATTCATGGGGAAAAGTGTCTTTTGTATTCAAGTTAAATATGTACTAATTACAAGGTTCCAGTATTTAATAGCCCTCAAACCAATTTTATGAATTTCAAGTGACTATAATAGATTGATTAACGTGAAGTATTATTGATTAATATACAACTGTTTGTGTAGTCGTTAGAATAATTTCTTCCTTATAACATATGAACGTGAAAAAGTATCACCATAAATAAATGATCTTAATAGTACGTTTATTATTTTTTAAAGAATTTTCATAATATATCTCACAGCAACTTGTCTTTAGTTTTTGGTGATAACTGGGATAATTTATTCACTAAGCAGATATTTATTTAGAATCGAATTGGACCCACCATTATTGTTTGTACATTAGCTAATAATATCGTATGGCTGCTTAAATAAAAGCAGATCAAGAGAGATTTTATTCTATTATATTCGATCATGTTCAACTATACAGACACCTCACTAAATAAGATTATAATTTCCAAACTTATAATTTTATAGTTTGATAAAAAATGTATTTGTCATGTATAGATCTGTACACTTGACTTTGAATTATGCTTTAACTTTGGAGGTCAATGATACTACTCGTTTTACCGAAGTCAAGTATTTCAAGAAGAATTTAACCATTTGATCTTATGGTGCAATATTATTGATTGAGAAAATAAACAATACTTGAGGGAATTATTTCAATGTTGTAATTATGAATTTGACTTTATATCTGTAACAAGTGGGGATATATATGTATATATACATATTCAATTGATATTAGTCTACGATATTATTAGTATGTGAAGAAAACTAGCGGCAAATAAATATTTAATGACAATATTTATTTTCAACGGCAAACTTTCCTAACACTTCTTAATAAGAAGAGTTCTAGTAATAGGAGACTAGTATTTAGATCATGTACTTTAGATCATCTTTCTACCTTAATTCTATGCCTCTAGATAATAAAACAGACTAAGTAAACTAAGGATTTTTGAATCTGATAGATGAAACGTCAAAGTATTGTCACTATAATTAATTATATTCAATATTATAATGTTCACAAAGGTGAACATAATTTGATCATTTAACATTTGGATATTATTTAGCTTTGATTATAATTTTAGATTATCTCTAATATAACTAAGTTAATCGTTCCATAATTTTACATGAGAATAAATATATTAATTCGAGTAAACTGGTATTTTGTGCTCAAAACTATATTACAATCAGTAATCTACAACAGGGTGGATCCGATGAAGATGTGAAGGCGCGGATCGGTAAAGCAAGAGCAGCATATTTACAACTGAGGAACATCTGGAACTGAAAGCAACTGTCAACCAACACCAAGGTCAGGATTTTCAATACAAATGTCAAGACAGTTCTACTGTATGGGGCAGAAACCTGGAGAACTACGAAAGCCATCATCCAGAAAATACAGGTGTTTATTAACAATTGTCTACGCAAAATACTTCAGATCCATTGGCCGGACACTATTAGCAACAACGTACTGTGGGAGAGAACAAACCAGATCTCAGCGGAAGAAGAAATCAGGAAGAAGCGCTGGAAGTGGACAGGACAAACATTGAGGAAAGCACCCAACTGCGTCACAAGACAAGCCCTCACATGGAATCCTCAAGGCCAAAGGAAAAGAGGAAGACCAAAGAACACATTACGCTGAGAAATGGAAATAGACATGAGAAAAATGAACAAGAATTGGATGGAACTAGAAAAGAAGGCCCAGGACAGAGTGGGTTGGAGAATGCTGGTCGGCGGCCTATGCTCCATTGGGGGTAACAGGCGTAAGTAAGTAAGTAATCTAAAACTTTTATTAAAATTAAAAAACACATAAGTGTTTCTATTTAAATTAAATTATTATTCATAGCAGAAGGGTTTTTGTGGATATTATAATGGCTTCAATCGTCCTACAATAGGACAGAACGGCCGTCCAATACTTCCAGGTTTTCCATGGTAGTCTAGCTTCAATAGACTCATGAGCTCAGTCATTGAAATTAAATTATTATTCTTTAATAAGTTATTTGAATGGTTCCATAGTTTTACATCTTAATGTGCATTAATAAAAACATAAGTTCTGTTTAACAGTTAAATAGTTATTAAGATGAAATAATAAATACTCTTGATAATAATGCGTCGTATGTAGAAAGTTTTGTCATGATTTAGAAATTATGAGTGGACTGATGTATTCAACTTAAATCAGTGTTTGTTCTGATGTTTTAAATACTTTTTATTTATACATTTGTTGCAATATTACTTACTACTTATTTACGCCTGTTATCCCTTGTGGAGGAGCATAAGCCACCTAATAGCACTCTCCATCCAACCCTGTCCTAGGGAATGCTTTTGAGTTCTTTCGGGTCGCTTTTCGTCCTTATCATGTCTGCTTACAATTCCCGACACCGTGTGTTATTCGGCCTTCTGCTTTTCCGTTTCCCTTCACGATTCTAAGTTGCCTCATGATGCAGTTTAATGAGTTGCGTAATGTATGTCCTATTCATTTCCATCTTCTTTTCCTAATTTCATCTTCAGTTGGAAGCTGGTTTGTTCCCTCCCATAGTAGACTGTTGCTGATGGTACCGGGCCAACGGAAATTGAGTATCTTGCGTAGACGAATGTTTATAAATACTTGTATCTTTTTGACGACAGTTGTAGCAATTCTCAAAGTTTCAGCTCCGTACAGTAGAACTGTCTTGACGTTCGTATTGAAAATTCTAACTTTGGTCGACAGTTGTTCTGAGTTCTATATGTTCTTCAATTGTAGGAATGCAATTTATTTGAATTATACCAATGTCTAATGTTGCCATTATAATGTTAATAGTCACTAAATGGATTTTCTGAATAGATCCACAACTATTTCAAATATTAATATAATTGAATATATATTCGCATACTGTTTGTTTTCCTAATTGAAATGACAACCACTCTATACTGTAATTTAACTTTATTTGGAAATCTGAACTTATATATTCCGATTTAGTATGTCATTTATATTTTACTAATTTGGATATTGAAAGTATTTTAGATTTATTCTGACTTCATGATACCAGTGTTTGTACATTGATGGGTGATTTCAAATTAGAAAAGAAATTTTATTACTTAATACCATTTACTGAATAATTTTAGATAATCAGAATTAATATTGAAAAGAATCTTTTCATGTGTCAGGACTTTTCTTCTTTTTAATGTCTATTCTATCCAAGTAGTACTTTTCATTATCAATGTCAAATGATGTGGCAGTTTTATTTGGTCATATGTAATCATAATCATCATGCATTATATATATGTACATTAAGTTACAATTAACCTAATACGAACAAATCAATATGTCATATTACTTACCTTTGAATTTCTTGCATTAGATTAGTAGTTGTAGAGGATACATGACAATCTTGTGTTTCTTGTGATGTATCTAAAAGTCGATTACGACTAGGTGAAATTCCATTGCTTGTTCTTCCTCCACGATATCTTAAATTATTATGTGTTGAATGATGATGATGATGATGACTTGACGATGTATTTATTGTTCTACCATGATTATTATTACTGTGATTATTAGTAATAACATTATTAGCGGTAGTATTTATTGGTGAAGAACATCTTCTTCGTGGCATAACTAAGATGAATATTGATAATTATAATGATAATTAAATAATGATTACTATCCAAGTACAAATTATCATCAATAAAAAAGTGTATATTATATATATATATAGAATTTTTCTAAATTAGATATAGGCTGGAATGAATGAAAATGAGTAGATCATGCTTTCTTTCTGTAAATTTTATATATTTCCATGAATGATTATGAATAAGCATTACATATACACATTAGCATATTCAATGTAATAATGAAATAATAATATATACAATTTTGTAAGTGGATATACATATAAAATCCGGTCAGTTGTAAAGATTATATATTACTACTGTCCAGAAATAGTTCATTTCGATATTATTTATTTTTTAACAATGCCTATGAAGAAGAAGAAGAAGAAGAAGGAAAAAAACCCCTAGACATTTTGTAAAATTTCTTATATTATTTGTTGTTATCGTTGTTGTTATTATTTACTACTATTTTTTTTGTTTTGTTATGATTATCCCCATCTATTTCCGTTCGTTCTTTTCTATACTAACTGAATGAAGCGATTTAATAAAACACCTATCCGTCAATCATTGGATTGTTCATTGCAGAAAAAAACAACAACAATTCAAGATAGAGGGGGACCATAAATACACACACATATGTATACTTGATTTCATGCTTGAAGATGTGATCATTGAAATTTTCTTACCTGGTTGGATTGAGTTTTAAAAATGCACAATAAAAACTTATTGTAAGCGCATTATATTAACAAGAAGTTTGATTTTATAAGCCACACCGACGCTTATATTCATTTTCATTGGTTAGAAATTGGATTAAATGGTTAGAAAAATATATATCACTCTATCTATATTCTTCATTATTATTGGTTGTAAAATTGTAATTAAATATACAGTAATATTTCAATAATAATAATAATAATAACAAAAAATCTAATTCAACTGTCAATCATAACTACAACATCATAGGTCGCCCAACTGATTTTTTCTTATAAATTATATAAATCTATAGAGTTATTCATTCATCTAGTAAACATGCACATTTTAATCAAGCATGAAAACAACCTGTCTGACATCTAGGCTAAGTATACACTAATATAATCTGTTTAACATTTTTCTATGCACCCAAATATTACTATTATTCTTATTATTATAATATATAGATGTATATATGCATACATTTGTGTATGTATTTACCAAAGTATTTTCTGCTTTCACTTAGTAGTATACTAAGATCCAAGTGGTATGTATAATCTTAATAGAAATGATTTACATTACTGTAAATTCAACGTAATTCTTCTTTTTTTCCGCCCATAGTAAAGATTTTTGAGCAGAATACTTTTTTTTTAAAAATGATCATTATTGAAATTCCATTATACAATTTCAAGTGACAAAGTAATGAATAAACATAGATTTATAATTTTGTATATTTGAGTAAATTACGCATATTATTCATGCTCATTAAAGGTTATTACATAAATATTATTTAGTTACTTGAAATTATTAAATTCCTAAGGTTTGGAGCATATTTAGTATCTTAGTAAGTAAATACTGATGTTTATAGTCCAGTAATACTTAAAATTTAAGTATATTTAATTGGTAACAAGAGAAATGAAATATCGTTCTTTTTGTGTCGTTACTGACGAAAATATATTTTATTAAACTATATTGTGTGTAAAACAAATTCAAGATCTCTGCTTTATATCTACTGATATATCTATTGATTTGGATTTTAACTCTTTCACATCAATCATTTATTTAAAATAATTGAGATCATGAGTTAATTGAATCTAGACCACCATAGAAAACCTGGAAGCATTGGACGGTCGGTTCGTCCTTCGTAGGATTCCTCAGCTGTGAGTGTTCGCGTGCGAGACCAATTAGTCCTGGATTCGAATCTCGCGAGGCGGGATCGTGGCTGCGCATTGCTGAGAAGTCCCACAATAACACAACATGGTCATCCAATGCTTCCAGATTTTCCATGGTGGTCTAGCTTCTGTTGACTCATGATTTCAACTATTGAAATTACTATAATATCCACAAAAACCCATTTTGATATTTAAAATAAAACAAACAAAGCAAGAGGTAAAAGTTAATAATATTTAAGTCTCTTCCTCTATAGTGACACCATGTGTACTTTTCTGAAGTTATCATATTTTTTTACGAAATAAAACAATAAACTTGAATTATCTATGATATAATGTATGTGAGGATAAACTAGTGAAATGAAAGAATGCGACTTTGGAACATATGGAGCTTATGTAACGATATAAATGAGCTTTATTGATAGGCGTTTGTGAAGAAAAAAAGATATGGAATTGTCATTGATTGTTTTCAAGTACGTAACTAGTTGAATAATTTTTCTATGATAGATTTTATTCCAATGGCTTATAAATAATTTTCAATTTTAAAAATTAATTTAAAGTTACATATTTATTTGAAATTATGAACCGGTTAGTGTTATACCACCACTTAAAACCTGGAAGAACTGGACGGTCGTTTTGTCACAGCGTGAGACTCCTCAGCAGTGTACATCAATAATTCCCCACGAAGGACTCAAGCCCAAGACCTTCAGTCTTGTATGTGAACACTTAACCTCTAGATCACAGCCAGCTTTAATGATGTTATTGTCTAAATTTAATCAATTCACACGGTTTTATAGTAGCTTTATTATCATTATTATTGATATAATGTTCAAGGAAAACGTTGTTAGTTTGTTGACTGAACTTGGAAATTTGAATTATCGTACTTCGGCAGAGTAACAGTCATATCTTACCGACATCAAAATTGCATAAATTATGCGTTCAACCTCATCTAGAATTATTATTCATTTAAATTACTGAGGAATTTCAAACTAGAACGCGATATTAAAGAGGAAGAATGTATATGTAGAATCTCAGCGAATGAATTGAAAGTAAATTCAACGTTTCTCCTGGCAATCTGTTACAAGCTTTTTCAAGGAAATAGTTATACTGTAGTTATGCTGTATTTTCCAATTGACTTGAAATTACGATGAAAATTAGCTTCATGGCTGATTATTTAATAAATATGTATTAACTAAATAAAACACTTGAGAATTTGTTAACCACTACCACTCACACACATATACCATACAACTATTTTGACCTAAAGTTGAACCCTATATAATTTTTTTTTCAAGTGAAATAGACTCTTAACGTTACTATTCACAATTTAATACAGGGTAATTTTAATGGTCATTTATTAAATGAAAACAATATTAAACTAATATATCATAATAAATTAAATGAATTCAGTAATTCCTATTTTTCGTTTATTTATATTAATGTTTCTACTCATATATTACTTTACCAATACTACTACTACTATTACCACTACTATTATTATTGTTACCAATATATTAATCTTTAAAAGTCCAATAATATTTTCTAAGCATTTATAATATTATTTTGATTTATATGGAATTATAAATTATTTATTTATTATTATTACCATTATTAAACAAAAGAAATGGTTGAACACGTATCGACATGTTATAAGATATTGAAAAAAAATCATATTAAGTTAATAGAATATAATTTAATGAATAAATGAACTGTCTTCTTTGTGTAGACTATTTCTGATATGAATGAAACTATGAATCAGTAGTAGTAGTAGTAGTAGTAGTAGTAATAGTAGTAGTAGTAGTAATAGTAGTAGTAATAGTAGTAGTAGTAATGGTAGTAGTAGTAGTAGTCAAGATTTGTAGCTACAATGGTTGAAGTAGTTTGAGAGTGTATCTGATCTAGCATAAAATGGATGCTATCTTCACTTCTTAGTCGTATGTCTTCTTATTAAATTGAATACTGTTTTGTTGATGATGTTCTATAGAAATTTAATGTTTATTCTTCAGAATGTATAAATAATCATTTAGATAACTTAGATAAACAACTGGTCTAAAAAAATTTATTTACGAAATGATTGTCAACAGAAGGATCGTGCAGAATGTTTTTTTAGAAATTTATGACATCATAGATCCTTTTTGAATTTGGAACTCGTAACACTTCATAACAACTGATCAACATATGACAAAAACCAGGATATTTACATATTGTGTGGACTATGATAATTTTAGACCACTTTGTATGAAGAGCTAGTTACTATTATTCAGAAATTTAACTTAAATTTAAATTTTCTCATGGATTATGTGAAAATCGAGACGCATTAAAAATCAATAAAAGCAGATGCCAACAGTTTGTCTGGAACTCTACATGCTACTGAACTTAAGACCTAAAAGTCTTACAGTTAGTGTGATATAAATCAGTTAATTAGTTCTAATGTTTACTGGTCCCTTATTTATAAATTCAGACAATTTATGTTTATAAATATCGTACAGATCTTGAAAAATATCTACTTTAGTCGATAAATTGTTTTCGTTTTATCTATTAAAAATAATTATGTTACGTTACTTATTTTGAATTCATGGACAGAAAAAAAAGTAACACATGTAGAAATCATAATTAAGTAAACTTTGATTGTAGTTTAACATAAATAAACAAATTTACGAATGCTGATCGGCGGTCTATGCTCGATTGGGGGATAACAGGCATAAGTAAGTTCCAGAAGTTTATTATCTAACAAGAAATGAATATTTTCAGTTTTCTGCAAATAAACCTGTTGATGATCGTTTAAATAATATATAAAGGAAACTTATGCCTCTTATCTATCATTTAAATATCTAAATTGTTAAGGTTTATTAAAGATTAAGTCTAAATCAGTCACTGAAATTCTGGTAAAAATAGCTCAATAAAGTAATTCAAATTGAACGAAAATAACCAATTAAGCCATTAAACAATGTACAGTTCAGTAAATAAAATGTTCTCATTAGGGAGATGCCAAAAGTTGATTGAACATTCTAAGTATTGAATTAAGTAACGTAATAGTAATAAGAGTAGGGATGTCAAATGGAAAATAAATGTGAAGACTGTCCACTTAATAAAGAAAAGACTAATTTTCATTAAAAATGACTTACAAATTAAGAGGGGGTTGTTAG